ACACATAGTTTAATTCAGCCCAACAGCTTCTTCATAAATTTTTTTCACTTATCCCTAATTTCCTAAAAACCTAAATCCTCAAAATCCCCCATTTTCAAAAGCACCAATATTCTTAGATTCTCAAATTCACAAAATCCCCAATTTTTAAATTCACAACATTCAAAATCAAGTTAAAATACAGTCTACAGGCTGCAGGCAACAAGCACAATTCACATATCACAAACATATTACAATTTACACAATCATATTATATAAACAAAAACAAAAACTGGAGCCTGGAGGAAATTAACTAAAGGAACAAACAAATTAACTAAATGAACAATTCACAAATCACAATTCAAAATTATAAGTTATAAGACAATAATATAACATAAATTCTCATATCTCAAAATTATAAGTCATAAGAATAAAAATAGAAATACCAAATGCACCCAAAAAATCATAGCAAACAGGCAGGCAGACAAAAATTGGTAATACTGAAACAATCAAACAGCTAGGCAGAAATTGGTAATACACCAATACGGGTTATACCTTACTTCTGTACAACAGCCAACAGGCAGCCGACAGTCGTGCTGCACCGCACTCCGACAAAATCGGAACGCACTACAGAGACGGGCAGTCGGCAGACGAGACGAAGCTCTAGTGCAACCTCCAGCTATTGCACCATCGTTCCGTTGTCCGTGACTCCGTCAAAGCTTACAGCCACAACCCACAGCCACAGGACTGCACTCAGAAGTCAGACCGCAGTGGCAATGTGGAATTGCGCCCTACTGGCGTCCGTCTTCCTCCTCAACTGCACCCAAAATGAAATCGACTAAGTTTTGTCATGGCTAATGGACTTTTAATTTTCAATTGGGCTCATTAATTGGGCCTTATTTTTTTAAATAATGCCCACCCAAATGAAACAATAAAAAATGGGGGAGGAATTTTTTTTTTCAGCCTGTTCTTCTTCTTCTTTCTTCCCAGCACCGGAGGACGGGGAGTGCGAGTTGACAGAGTCACCTGAAGCTTCCGACGAACCCAGCACGGGCGATCGCGGGGGCTGGCCAGGTGCTGAGTCCGCCCCTGATCGGGATTATGGCACGAGAGACTAGGTCATCTAAGTAAAAAATGTTTAAAATTCACTTCAAAGGAAGGAATCTTCGGAAAAGACAATGTTCAGAGATTAACATTTTGTAAACATTGTGTTATGGACAAACAAATAGATTGTCTTTGAAGACTAGTATACATAAGTCTCAAAAAGTACTTGAATACATTCATAGTTACTTATGGAGCCCTGCTTCTATATCTACAGCATCTGGTTATAAATGTTATCTCCTTACTATAGATCATTTATTCAAGGAAAGTTTGAATTTTCTCGTTAAAATCAAAATTTGACACTTTCACAATTTTTAAAGACTGGAATAAATTAAATGAAAATCAAACTGATAAGAAGATTCAGACAAACCTTACGGACTGACAATGGGCTTGAGTTCTGCAATGCTGAATTTGATTAGTATTGCACTGAACATGGTATATTGAGGTACGGGACTGTGGCCTATGCTCCTCAACAAAATGAAATTGCTAAAAGAATTAACATAACCACTTTTGAAAGGACTGGATGCATGGTGATTAGTTCAGGTTTGTTAAAAATATTCTAGGGAGAGACAGTGAAGACTGTATGTTATCTGATAAATAGATGCACTTCTAGCTCCGTTAAACAATAAAATACCTGAGCAAGTTTGGTTAGGATCAATGCCTAATTAGTCTTATCTTAGAACCTTTGGCTGTACAGCTTATGCATTTCACATTGATTCAAAACTGGATCCCAGATTCTTGAAGTATGTTTTTCTAGGATATGGTAAAAGGGTTAAAGGTTACAAGTTATGGATAAAAGAGGCCAAAGGATTCAAAGTGATAATAAATAATTCTGTGATTTTTAATGAATATGACTTCCCATGTCTTGTTGACAAAACTAGAGAAGCAATAACTGGTAATAATTTTGTTATTATTGAAATTAACCTTGATAGCAGAATGTTGTTGATCAGACTCGATTTGAGGTAAAGTCACTTCAAATAGAGCCTCAGATCATAACGGATGATGAAAACCTGGATGATGATCAAGGTGTAAATCGTGCACAACTTGAAGTATTATCAACTAACTAGAGATAGAGAAAGCAAACAAATAAGACCTCCTTCTAGGTTCCAATACTGCACATCTTAAATCTCACCTCTTTGATATAGAACCTGCTACTTATGAAGAAGCTTTAACCTGTAAAGAATCTTCTAAGTGGCTTGCATCAATGCAAAATGAAATAAATTCTCTACATAAGAATCAAACCTGGAACTTTGTAGAAAAACCTAAAGGTTGTAAACTTGTTGACTGCAAATGGGTCTACAAGATTAAGGAGGGTGAGTTTCAGGGTCGGCCCTGGCTCAAGGCAAGTAAAGC